GTCACATGAGTACAGCATAGCCAATTAGTGTGTCCTGTTACACCTGCCTTCCAACCTTTCAGCCAGCTCTTCTTCGAATGTCTCAAATTTGCTTACTTTAAATATGAAAATATTACTACTGTCAGGATGGCAAACTTTTTACATTGCCCATGTAGTGGACTTGCCCTTGGATCTGGGGTTGGCAAATATTTACTGTAGAAAGCCAGATCATAAATATTTTAGGGTTTTCTGGCCATACAGTCTTTGTCACAACTGCACAACTCTTGTGATAGCAGCCATTGACAACAGGCAAACAAATGTGTGTGACTGTGTTCCAATAAAACTCTGCTTACAAAAGCAGCTGGTGGACCAGCTTTAGCTTTAGTTTGCTGACCCTTGCTTTAGATTCAAAAACTTTAATTAGTTTTCAATGGTTCAATTTTATAAAACATCTAGAGCTTGTCTATCCAATGAAATGTAATGTGATCCACAGCTATGGACAAATATGAATTTTAAATTTTCTGGTAACCACGTTACAAAAAGTAAAAAGAAACAGGTGAACTTTATGTCAATACATTTTGTTTAGCCAAGTAAATCTGAAATATTATTTCAGCATGTAATCAATACAAAACATGATTAGTGCAATATCTTACAGGTATGTATGAAGTTTTTGAAATCTGGTGTGTATTTTTTACTTCGAGTATATCTCAATTCAGTCTAGCCACATTTCAAGAGTTCTATGTAGCTCCTGGCTATTGCATTGGGCAGCGCAGATCCATAACAGGTGTTTTCAACTTTGGCACCTTAGACAGTTTGAAGAAAAACACATTTGGTTGTGGGGGCAGCACAATTCATGATGGGCTATTTAGCGGATGTCCTTGACACCTATCTACCTGATGTGAGTAATGCCTTCCCAGTTGTGAAGACCAGAAATATTTCATACATTCTAAGTGTCCTCCAAAGGGAAAAATTGTCCAGTCGGGAACCATGTATCTAGAATAAGCATTCTAAAACTAGGTCAGTGAATCCCCTGAAACTGAACATAATCTTTAGTGCCTATGTGATTTGATCAGGGGTGAAGTGGGGAGGAAAGGGTCTATACTTTCCATAGCTCTTCAAAGGTGTCTGTGATCCAAAACAGGCTAAGAATCACTGACTGAATAGAAAGAGATGTTAAATTATGCTACTATATGCATATCACCAATAAGTACACACTCCAAATACAAGCTTTTGCTTGTGATCTTTCAAAATGAAATAAATTCCCATAATGACCTCCCCAAACTTTGACCTTTTTGAACTGTACCATTGCTTTTCCGTCTTGATTCCTTAGTGTTGGAGTACTGATTTTGAACATTTCTCTTCAAGCATTATTTAGCAAGAAAATCCATGAAGGGTAGATTCTAGTCAAAATATTACAGCAATGGAGAGGGATTAGTGTAACATCTTAGCAATGGGAGAGTCATTATTATTGAACTCTCAAGTTGGCAAAACGGAAAGATAATGAGATTGGGAGTCAAGAAACTTACATCCTCTAGTCAGCTGTGTGATCTAGGCTGAGTGAGAATGACCCACATGCTTTCTCAGATGATGTTGAGAAGGAAAGGAGATAACTGGTACAGAAAGTGGTATAATGTTATTTCCTAAAACAGTTGTGATTCTCACTCAAAAGTCTGCTTAACTGCCTATGTCAATCTGCAAACACAGACAGAAGTATTTTAACTATGATGACAAGAATAATGAAGGTAAGCTATAATTAGCTTTTCCTATTTCCTCTAGATGCTATAAAATATTAGGAAGAGTTGATAAAATTATTAGAATATAAACTATCGCTAGTGGATGTGAGCATCCCAGAACAAAGGTTCTCAACCATCAGCTCAGTCCCAGGTGATTATTTTCACTGTAATGATACATGCTCTCCCCAAATCTGTGATGCAGAGATGAGGGGACTCACATTCTTTTTGTGCAGTTAAGATCTGTGTGCTTTGAATCTGAATTAACTGTGGGTTCTGTGGTTGGATATTACTAAGAGACTTCTAACTATTCATACTAACAGAAATACTTTCCTCAATACTGACACATTTCTGTGCCCAAACTGACTTCCCTGTTTAGTCGCATAGATACACCTACTTCTTACTCTCCCAGAGAAGATTGAGCCATCCTTTGGGCCACAATTCACATTCAGGAAGGGCTTAGACTATTGATATATAATTTTAGAATTTTTGAAAGCACCTTTGCAAAATTAGGGCAGTAAGAGAAACCCGACATAGTTGACTGCATCTTGCTTCTAACCTTTAAGCAGTCCTTTAGGCATTCCTGGGCATAGGCCAAGCTGACTTTGGGAGGAATTTAGTTTATAGTTTATCCTTAAAGCAAGAATAATAATAGCTCTTCCCCAAACTAAACTGCCTTTGTAAAACCAATGAAAGTCCACAAGGTTAGGATTATGAGGGGGATGTTGGTGTAGTTAAATGACAACAAACCATTGTTGGGAAGTTTTGAGATTTGTGACTTCCCCAATCTCTCCTGCAGGTTGCATCACTATTGTAGAACCTATGATTGGCCTTTTGAGATGTCTTCTCAGACTTTTTTGTTTCTGATAACCAGCTGACTCTACCCAGACTGGCAACTCATGACTCAACTCGTTCTGTGGTCCCCACGCAGAGGCTGACTCAGTGCACAAGGACCATTTTCCACATCCCTGTGATTTCATCCCAACCAATTAACATTCCCCATTCCCTAGCCCCCTGCCCACCACATTACGCTTGCGAAACCCTAATCTCCAAGCCCTTAGGGAGACCGATTTGCGTGCTTCCATTCGGCCAGACTTGTGTCAATTAAACTCTTCACTGCAATGCTGCAGTCTCAGTTAATCAATTTTGTCAATGCAGTGGGTAGAAAGAATAACCCATGAGGTGATTACTTTTTTTTTTTTTTTGAGATGGAGTCTTATTCTGTTGCCCAGGCTGGTGTGCAGTGGCATAATCTTGGCTCACTGCAACATCTGCCTTCCCAGCTCATGTGATCCTCCCACCATAGCCTCCTGAGTAGCTGGGACCACAGATGCCCACCACCACGCCGGCTAACATTTCATGTTTTTGGTAGAGATAGAGTTTTGCCATGTTGTCCAGGCTGGTCTCAAACTCCTGAGCTCAAGTGATCTGCTCACCTCAGCATCCCAAAGTGTTGGGATTACAGGCATGAGCCACTGCGCCTAGCGGTGATCACATTTTGATGCTATCATATTGTCTCTACAATTTCATACTTAATGTCAGAGAGACATATTGACAGGACCGAAGGAGAATGTCATCATATACTTTCACATCAGTGACCTAGTTCTGGAGCACACTTCTCATAGTACACTCAGAGCTAGATGTTTAAAAATGCTCCCTGTAAACATCTTACAAACAAAACAATTATATTGCATTTGTGTCAAAATTATTAATAGTAAAACAGACTCCAATTCTGGAAATACCACTAAATCTAACTTGGCATTTCTTTGTATTTTAATATATCAAGATCCTCTAGAATTAAAAGGAGGCCTGGTCCTCTCTTGATGGCTGACAGGCTTGTCTTCCCCTTCAGACCCAAAGGGAAGTAAGGACATGGATGGATGCTAAAAGGAAGACACCACAGGGAGGTGGGGGAAAGCAATATAGGAGATCAGAAAGGAAACAGAGAGGGCCCAGGGACATGGCATCCTGAGGAGGTCAAGGCAAGACTTTATTACTATTATTGAGACTGTGTGTCACTCTGTTGTGCAGGCTAGAGTGCAGTGGCATGATCTCGGCTCACTGCAACCTCCACCTCCTGGGTGCAGGCCATTCTCTTGCCTCAGTCTCCTGAATAGCTAGACCACCATGTTACCCAGGCTGGTCTTGAACACCTGGCCTCAAGTGATCCACCTGCCTCGGCCTCCCAAAGACAAGACTTTAAGAAATAAAATAAATGACCCACATTGTGACTAGGACATCCAAAACTAGACATCTGTCATGTGAAAAACATCAGTATCCTCAGGGGACATTCATATCAACAGGCAGGATGACTGGCATCTCCTCAATGCCCAGGACCCGCACATTTGGGGATATGTCATTCCTTTCAGCTAAACAGGAAATACCATAAAGGAATTTGATACAACAGGGAAAGGGTGATGATATAGCCTGAGAATTCTAAAATGCCTGCCCAATATCTTCCTGCCAAGTCATTTTAATCACCTGTTGCTCTCAGTCTTTTTCCAGCCTTACTTTAAAGGCAAACAACCGTCCTCTCTAGCATTTTATGACCATACAATGCAAAACAAAGTACAATCTAAAGCCTTTGTGGTTTTATTCTCGACTGTTGGGATCTTAAAAAGTTTAGGCTCATACGCTCCAACAACCTGAGATTTGAAATAGAAGACACTTCGAATTTTACTGAATTAGACCCTCCATCAAGTTTCGCCACTGGAGGGCACCAGTTAACAACATTACATGCCAAGCAGTATTCCTGTCTTAAGTTTTTTCCCTTTTTTTCTAGGACTCTAAATAGAGTTCTCTTTCACAGATTAAATTGGAGCCACTTTATCCTTTCATAATTCAGGATTTCAAAGACCAATTTCTTAGAATAATTGGAAATCACAACATTTCATACCCATTTCTGGAATCAATATTTAAAAGCCCAGTTCACATTAACCTACTAGGTTCCCTATCAAAAGAAATGACAGGGGATTATTTACCCATAATCATTCAGCAATTACCGTTTATCATAAAAGGAGATCTGCACGGTCTGACCACAGGAAATGTTGAGTTTCATAGCATTTAAGGAATGGCCACTTTCTATATATATATATATATATATATAAATATATATAAGTTCATTTAACAAATGTTATTTTCCACTTGTTTGGGAAATACTTTAATTTGAGAGATCTTGAACTAGATATTTTAGTGGACATTTTCCCCTTTCAGTTTTAACATCTAGCCTTATCATTCTTGTGTATGAATATTTTTATGGGAATAATCGTATCATCCCCTCTGTCTTTACAGGATACTCCATGGTTCTCCTACCACCAGACGCTACTGAGGCTAAACTTATTGGACTAAAGAAAAATATTTGTGGGGAAAACTCTTTCAGAATCCTGCTTTGAACCAGAGAAATCCATTCTCTTGAGGCTCTTTGCTGTGGAGAAGTTGGCCTTACCAATCCACCTTTGGAGTTCAAGTTATACGGGTTTGCATTTTTTCTTTATTTTACTCCATACTTCCCACTCCATTTTTCAGATGACTATCTGCTTGTCTGCATGTATTATAATTATTGTTCTGCTTATTAATTCTGCTTACCAGTTTTCTTGGCTCTTGCTAGTTTCTATTACTAACCTCAGTCTGAACTCATATAAATCTTGGACAGACTAAAATTGCACAGTGGGATCATTTCATTCACATGAGTTTGCCAATACGTGGATATTAATATGTGAAGGTGGCTGAGGATGGAGATTGGGATATGAACTGGTAGTGCTGTCCCTGAGTGTGCTATTTTCAGAGTTCTTGCTGATACTGTAGAATTGGCTCTTACATAACTCAATATCCTCTTACATGGGATATTTCTTTTGGTCTACATATAGGAACTTTGTCTTTAAAAAATCTATTACCAAATAAATAAATAAATAAATAAATAAATAAATAAATAAATAATCTATTATCTCTCTGACAACACATGGACCCATTGAAGGAAACTGCACACACTGGGTCCTACCAGAGGATGGAGGGTGGGAGGAGAAGGAGCATCAGGAAAAACAACTAATGGGTACCAGGCTTACTACCTGCATGGGTGATAAAATAATCTGTACAACAAACCTCTGTGACACAAGTTTACCTATCTAACAAGCCTGCACAGGTACCCCTGGGCTTAAAATAAAAGTAAAAAAAAAAACAAAAAAAAAAACTATGATCTCTCAGCCACCTCACAGGGATGTTTTGACATTATATGAATTATGTTAAATAATCAGTGCTAGGACAGTGCCAGGCATAGACAGCCTCAATAAATATGAGTTTCTTCTCTACTTCTTACTTCTATTTCCTTCCTTTTCCTGGTGCCTAGAGACAGATTTTATATCAGAGCAGCCACATTGATCAGATTGATAATTTATTTGCTTTACTCCTCTTTTGTCAAGCTTGCTATTTTACCATATTGTTCTTTTCTTGAAAAAAAATTTTTTTTTAAAGTCATCTAAATGATTAGGGGCAGAAATTAGTATCTGAAGAAGGAATATGGTAGCTCTTCTTGGGATGTGGAATCCTGAACAACCCCCAACATGAGAGATGTTTCATGAGAGACTGGGTCAACATGGTATTCTTTCAGGGGAAATCTGTGCTCATATAAATGAATCATAGCACAGACCAGAGTTCAAATCCTTGCCTTGGCATTTACAACTTGGGCAAACTTGAATAGAGGGAGAATGAAGAATTTGGAACTCCTTTCTCTCAGCTGTAAAATGGAGACTAATAACACTTAACCAATGATATTGCTATGAAGACTCAATAAAATAACAAAAATGTGCTTGCTATCATTGTTTCTGTTGTATCCAAAGCATTGTCTGATTCTGGAGATTTTGTAAATGGGATTGCCTGAAATGAAAGTCTGTCCATGTTAACCCTTACACAGCCCCTCTGCTTCATGCAGCTGCTCATCTTCCTGGTCATGCACATATCTTATGCGCCCCTGCACCTGTACTGCAGCTCACAGCATTCTTTGCATTGGAATCTACACTGTTCACCTCACCTCTCTGTCTTTCCCATTGTCTTGACTGCAACTCACAACATAATTCTACAAAGCATCCTTGTCTCAGAGCAAGAGAACCTGATCTCTATTTCCTGTTAATGCTTATCATTCTTACTATCTCCTTCTTGCTGGGTGGAGCTTCCCTGATTCACCCAGGTTCGTTATTTGACTGATTGTGGTATATGGCATCAGTGAAGCACTTATCACAAGACAACTCCTTGATGGTAGAGCCTCTGGCTTTTTCATCTCCATACACCACCTAACTAATTTGATGCCTAGCACAGAGGAGTCACTCAAAAAAACACTGTAAGAGTAACAGTAAGGAAAGCACTTATTTGATACTGTTATATTTTCATATATATTTATTTTATGTGCCCATAAGATACTTTGAAGTTCTTTAAAGTCAAGTACTTACACAGAACATTAATGTTAGAAACAAAATTTGGGAAGAATAAATGCCAGACATTATATCCTTCTCAGTGGAAGAATATACCATCTATGAGGTAGCTTGTCAAAAGAAGTGATCCTGAATCTCATCAAGCCTTTAGATCCAGCCACAATTTATAGAAAATAAAAAGAATAGAGAAATATGTTGGTATAGTTTGGCTCTGTGTCCCCACCCAAATCTCATCATGAATTGTAGTCCGTAAGTGTTGAGGGAAGGATCTGGTGGGAGGTGATTAGATTGTGGAGGTGGCTTCCCTCATGCTGTTTTTATGAAAGAGAGGGACTTCTCACAAGATCTGATGGTTTAAAAGTGGCAGTTTGCCCTACATTCTCTCTCTTTTGCTGCCATGTAAGATGTGCCTTGCTTCCCCTTCTCCTTCCTCCATGATTATGTTTCCTGAGGCCTTTCTAGCCATGTCAATTCAACCCCTTTTGTTTATAAATTACCCAGTTTTAGGTAGTATCTTTCTAGCGGTGTGAAAATAGACTAATATACATGTTAATGACACCATGAGGTTGCAATGTGCAAAATCCAGACTGTGGAATATTCAACCCTAGGAGCCTCTCTGTTTTTGAATGCCTTCAAGCTTAGAATGGTTTAAAGATGGGCTTAAATTTTATTGATCTATTTTATGTATGTATATATTTATATGTTAAAAAGTTTGAAAAAATAAAGAATATGTGATACAGATGCTTGCTTTATAGGATTAACATCCCAACTTTTTTTTTTTTTTTTTTTTTTGAGACAAAGCCTTGCTCTGTTGTCCAGGCTGGAGTGCAGTGGCATGACCTCAGCTCACTGAAGCCTCTGCCTCATGGGTTCAAGCAGTTCTCCTGCTGCAGCTTCTGAGTATCTGGGACTACAAATGTGTGTTATCAATCTTGGATAATTTTTGTATTTTTTAGTAGAGACAGGGTTCAACATGTTGGCCAGGCTGGTCTTGAACTCTTGACATCAAGTGATCTGCCTGCCTCAGCCTCTCAAAGTGCTGGGATTACAGGTGTGAGCCACCCCACCTGGCCGACAACCCTACTTTTATGACAAATAAATTGCAAATAAAAGGAGGACACTAAAAGGATGCTAAAAGAGACTTAAGTCATAGATCAACTGATTGTAATGAATTGATTTTATCTAGATTCCTATGCAAACTAACCAACCATAAAATAGAAAAAGAAACATTCATAACATTTATGATGTAATTGACATTTAATAATATTAAGATATTACCAAGGATATTTTTAGGTCAGATAATGGCTTGAAACTTATGTTTATTAAAAATAGTCCTTATGTTTTAGATTTACATACTGAAATATTTATGAATGATGCTGTGTGTGATTTGCTTCCCAGTAATAAGAGAAAGGAAGCAGATTTGGTTATGGATTAAAGCGAGATTGTCCATGAGTTGCTAATTTTTGTAACTGGTGACTGATTTATGAAGTTTATTATGTTCTTCTGTCTATTATATCCTTCTATGTTTGAAATTCTATGTTATAAAAAGTTCATGAAAAAAATGAACAAATTTCAGACTTCTATCTGAGCTGATTCCAGCCAAAATACCTCTATCATGGTACTGGGTTCTTCTGATCTCAGTTTCCTTACCTGCAAAATGGATATTATAATAATGCCTACTTCATATGGTTATTGTGAAAACTATCTGAGCTAATGTATATGCAGATCTTAATTAATGCTTAGTACATAATGAAGCATTCAGTTCTTATTAAATAGTGTTGTTGCTGCTGCTGTTACTACTTTAACTCTCTGTAGGTGTTACTATTTACGAGTATCTGTTGCTGAGAGAATAAAGAAGGATAAGAAAATAGAATTCTTATTGAGAAAAGAGCCAGTATAGTCATTGCAGTCTGCAGGTAACTGGAGACTCTGTAGTTCCCATTCTCCCCAAGCGCAGTGTTCCTAAGCGGAGTTGGGGAGGATGGGAACTACACAGTCTCCAGTTACCAGTAGATTGCAATGACTATTCTGGACCTAGTTGTCAGACCTTATATGGCCTAATGTGGGGCAGGCTGTCTAGCTGGGCACTGAGCTTTTCCAGTGAGAAATGCCATGTAATAACTGGAAGGTCAGGGAGAGAGCAATATAATCAAACACTCAAACTAAACCTAAGAGCCATTTATTAAACTCAGCTCTACAAAAATTTTTGATCATTGAGAGGTGTATTGGCAGAATAAAGACTATCTAATACAGGCTTAAGAGGGAACATAACTTTAAAAATAATTGATCAAATCTTTATTGAATATTATCATTTCAGGGAGGCAATATACCACAATAATTTATAACAGCCCTTTCCATAGTACTGGTCTTTGATGAGATAAAGAGCTTGCCCTAAAATGAAAATACACACATCGCTTCCTTACTAAAGAAGTCTTGCTATTGAAAAAAAAGAAGCCATTCGAAGTAAACAGTATGCTTAGTGACATAGTTGATTTGCATTCTGGCACAAGCTCCTTATGTTCACAGTCTGTTAACTAGTGCATAGTCGACGTTTTTGAGTGAAACTAGTTTAGAGCAGGGGTTCTCAACTGGAGGCAGTTTTGCCGCTTAGAGGTCATCTGGCAGTGTCTGGAGACACTTCTTGTTGTCACAACTGAGTGGGAGATGCTATGGTATCTGATGGATAGAAGCCAAGGATGCTGCCGAATGCCCTGCAGTGTAGTGTCCTTCACAACAATGGAATATTCAGCCAAGATGAAAATACTGATGAGGTCGAGAAACCCTCTTTTAAAGCATATCTTTAGAGCCAGAGATGAGAACCAAACTCCAGCTCTGCCATCTACAAACAGTGTGACCTTGAGCAAGACAGGTTTTTATCTCTCTGTAAGCACTAGCTTACAGGATTGTTGTGCAGATGAAGTAAGCAAATGCAGATAAACCATTTAACAGAGATGAAGATCAAGTTTTCAGTTTTTTTTTTTTTTTGAGAAAGAAAAAAAGAATAATAAAAAGAATAAAGAAGAGGAAGAAAGAGAAAGAGGAAGAGGGAGAGAGGATGGGGGTATTGCTTTATTGCCCGGGCTAGAATGCAGTCTAAATATGGGTATGCCTATAATTGTCCTTAATAATGGAGACATAAAATAAAATGAGGGACGAGAATAACAAACAAGGAGCCAACCAACATTTCGTTTAAACTTCTAAGTTGATATGATGTGGTACTGATAAGAGTGTATATTTTGTATATTTAAAGTGGAGAGTTCTATAAATGTTAATTACGTTTACTTGTTCCAGATCTGAGTTCAAGTCCTGGATATCGTTGTTAATTTCTGTCTCATTGATCTGTCTAATATTAATGTTGAAGTCTCCGACTATTATTGTGTGGGAGTCTAAGTCTTTTTGAGTAGCTGTGTATACTTCTCAGACATAGCCCTTGCCTTGGTGACTCATGAATTGTCATTCAAGGACTCATTATGTTAATGGCTAAGATATAGCTTTTTGGTTTGTTTTCTTTCCTCTCTCTTTCATTCTTTGATAACAATTGGCAATGAGTTCTCTGTAATCTTTTATTTTGAAGACCTAAAATGCAAATGTATTTCATTTATTGCTGAAGATGAATGCCAAGCAAAACCAAGCCAAACCTTCACTTTGATTGCTTGAAAGATAAACCTTATTGTCAGAAAGAGTCAGACTATAAACAAAGCTGGGGAATTCACTTGAAACTCCTCTTTCTGTCCCTAGGATGAAGTATGACACACGCCTAGGAGCTTAATGGTTTACAAGTTGGGACTCCTACTGTGTCCTTCTTTTTGCTGATGATTTTATGATTTTTTTTTTACACACAACATGATAGATTCTTGAGTATCCTTAGCTTTGAATCTGTACACTTATTTTTTTGCAGTTTGAGTGAAACCCTTCAGACAGAGCTGTGAAGATGTGGTTCTTAAATAAAATATTTTTCTACTGTGCTAATAACTCACACATTCTCTACATTTCTCTTCTATACTCAGGGTCAGTGGGATATGTCCATTTTTCTTAATTCTATCTAGCTTGTTTTTCTTAGGCTTCCAACAGCTTTTTATCAAGGCACAGCGTGGCTTGTTCCAGGTGCTGGCATTTGGGGAGGGCAGAGAATTGTGGAGGGAGAAGGGATACTTTCTTATTCTTTTTCCATCATTGTATTGACAATAGCTTTTTAATGATTTGAAAACGCTTTGTAAATGCCCTATCATAAAATATTGTGTTATAAACCCACATAGGAGACATGATTTAGATAATAGAAGCAATAACACACTTTTGTCCTGCTGCTAGGTTTTAATGAAATGTATTTTATTGAGATCTAATGTAGTTTTTCACCACAGAAGCCATCTACTTGCTGAATTGCTAAATCTCTAGAGTTGACATTCTTCCTCCCATCCAAGTACTAACTAGGCCTGACCCTGCCTAGCTTCCGAGATCAGACAAGATTGGGTGCGTCCAGGGTGGTATGGCCGTAGGCAAGGGTTGACATTCTCCCTTAAAGACATGGGATGTTTGCATTTCTGGGTCAGATGGGAAGACTGTGGTGTCAGAAGTGAAAATGTTGCAGATTTCAAGTATAAATACGTGACCACATTTGTGTGTACATGCCACCACAGTCATTCCTGGGCCCAACTGGGCACAAAGGGATTGTAGCTCCCTACTGGGAACGAAAAGAAGTCTTCTAAAGAGAGAGGATTTAGGACGGACCTTGAATGATTGATAAGATTTAGACGTGCAGATAAAGGAATGATGATTATTATTATTTTTAAAAAAAGGTCTTCCAGGTAAAGAGAAAAGTGAGTGTGTATGTGGAAAAGAAGGAAACATGGAGTTACTAGGAAAATATTCATCAAGCGTAACTTGAGGAGCTGTGCCAGAACAGGTGGACATGAAGTGGGGAGCAGGAGAGGTAAGTGGAAAGCAAACTCTAGAGTAGCAGTGGAATAGTTATAAAAGCTAAAGAGCAGAGATGAGCATCCTGCAGGGTTTGGCCTTTCAGCAAGTTCCAGTTCTCATGTCAGTGTCATTTCTCATTAAAGACAAAGCTCCAAGGATCTTATTAACTAATTCAGCTTTAAAAACTGTGTAGCCTACTTTATTAATAAGAACAAGTCAAGGGTGAGAAGGATGTTTAAGTAGCTCTCTGACGCCATAGAATTTCTCCCTAATACTAATTATCAACCCTAACAGTCAGGACAGGCTGGGTTATGCTGCAATAATAAATAGGTCCCAAATTTCATTGGCTTAGAAAAACAAAGAATATTTTTTGCTCACACTGAATCTTCTGTTGAAGATGAAGAGAGAGTTTCTGCCTGGCAGGGGAAATTTGGAGAACTGAGTGTTAGCATTTAAATGTTTCTATTTGGAATTAATAAAGGTCACCTTAGCTAGCATTTCATCGACCAAAGCAAATTACTTGGACATGACTAAATTCAAGAGGGCAAGGAGACACAAATCTTTTCATTCTGCTACAATCTCCTCAGTTGGTTACTATAAATACATCCTCATTTTAGTACTACAATTCATACCCCTCTAAAATGTCTCCAAAAATAATTTCATTTCTTGACTGTTTAATTTTGGCCAGGCCCTGGGCTGACCTTTTTAATACAAAATTTCTCTTTGAATTCCTATAAAAATTCTCTGCTATTGGTTTTAGCATCCTCTTGACTGGTCAACTTGTGACATTTGTGTTCTTCCTCACAAGATCTGCAAGGCTGCCTGTGAATAAATGGTTGGTCACTACAGCCAAGTTTTTCAGGAGCTCCTGAAAGATCACTGCATAAACAAGGGAACAAGGGCAGATGGAGACCAGACCTCTGGCTACTGTTGCTGCCACCGTCACAGCCACCACCTTCATCCTCATGAACCCCCTATTTACTGAACACTCTCTATAGGCCAGGTACCCTACCCTGTACCTGTGAAGTAAGGACTATTATTTCCTCTATTTTATAAAGGAGGAGTTGAGGCTCAGAGAGGTTATGTTGCTTGCCAAAGATCACACAGCTAGTAAGTGGCAAAAATGAGATTCTCTCTGAGTCCAGCTACAACATAACTGATATTCTTGACAATCAGGCTGGATAGAAAAAGATAAGATATGAGAATTTTGGTGCTATGATTTGAATTTTCCTTCCAAAGCTCATGTTGGAACTTAATCCCCAATATAACAGTACTAATAGGTGGGGTCTTTAACACGGAGTCCCAGAATTGTGGGACTCCGTGTTAAAGACCCCACCTATTAGTACTGAATGAATTACTCCATTTATGATTAAGGAATTAATGGGTCATAATGGGAGTGGAACAGTGGCTTTATAAGAAGAGAAAGAGAGACCTGAGCTAGAACACTCAGCCCCCTTGCCATGTGATGCTCTGTACTACCTTGGGACTCTGGAAGGTTTCCACCAGAGAGAAGGCCCTCATCAGATGCAGCCCCTTGACTTTGGTTTTTAGCTTCTATAACTGTAATAAGTATTTTTTTCTTTGTAAATTATCCAGTTTTTGGTGTTCTGTTATAAGCAATAAAAAGCAGACTAATACATTGAGTTATAATTATGAGATTTAAGACGGAGGAAAATGTACATGGAAAACACTAGAGAAAGGAATGCTAAACTAGAGCATAAGCATTAGGATTGTGAAAAGATATTTGAAATATTTTAAAGATATGGAATTTAAAAAGTTAGGAAACAGATAACGTATAAGAGAAAGAGAGAAAATGAAAAATGATTCCAAGGTTGGAAACACTTAGTATTGGTGAAATACTCATAGCTGGGGGAAAAAACCGAAAGGAAGAGCTGGCTTGTGGGTACAGATGGATAAATCTGGATTTATTGAACTTTTCTTTGCCAGTGAGGTATGCGTGTAAAAATAGCTATTCGTTTATTCTCATTCATTTAGCATGTAAAGAACACAACTAGGCATTAGAAACATGTAACAAAACCTATTTCTGTATAAATTTAGAAATATGGATCTGAAAGATCAAGGTTTGGGTTTTATTCATTTATTTATTCAAACTTGTGTGAGGTCTTTCCAAAGTATGTGATATATTAAGCAGAAAGGACAGAGAAATTCATGAAAATAGGTATGATCATCAAGGAAAACAACAAAAAACACAGGGTAAAAAACCAAACTTAAAGGAGTGCCTATATTCAGGAATATGGGAGGGAGGAAAGATAATCTGAAAAGAGGTTGTTAAGGTGGGAAGAAAGCAAGACAAAAAAGTCTCATAATTGGATGCATGAGAGAGATTTCAGGAATAAGAAAGGGCTCAGTAGTCCCAAGACCACAGAGATACCAAGGATGGAAAAGAACATTTATGGGAGTGTTTTGGAGGTTTCAGGGATTAGGTAGATTGCACATATGTTTTATGTTTTTCCTTCCTTCTTTCCTTCCTTCCTTCCCTTTCTTCCTTTCTTCCTTCTTTCTCTTTCTTTCCTTCTTCCTTTTTTTTTTTTTTTTTTTTTTTTTGAGACGGAGTTTCGCTCTTGTTACCCAGGCTGGAGTGCAATGGCGCGATCTCGGCTCACTGCAACCTCCGCCTCCTGGGTTCAGGCAATTCTCCTGCCTCAGCCTCCTGAGTAGCTGGGATTACAGGCACGTGCCACCATGCCCAGCTCATTTTTTGTATTTTTTTTTTTTTTTTTTTTTTTAGTAGAGACGGGGTTTCACCATGTTGACCAGGATGGTCTCGATCTCTCGACCTCGTGATCCACCTGCCTTGGCCTCCCAAAGTGCTGGGATTACAGGCTTGAGCCACCGCGCCCGGCCCCTCTTTCTTTCTTTTCTTTCCTTCTTTCTTTCTTTCTTTCTTTGATGGAGTCTTACTCTGTCTCCCAGGCTGGAGTTCAGTGGTGCAACTGCAGTTCGCTGCAACCTCCATCTCCCAGGTTCAAGCAATTCTCCTGCCTCAGCCTCCCAAGTAGCTGGGACTACAGGTGCGCACCACCATGCCCAGCTAATTTTTGTATTTTTAAGTAGAGACAGGGCTTCACCATATTGACCAGGCTGGTCTTGAACTCCTGACCTTGCCATCTGCCAGCCTCAGCCTCCCAAAGTGGTAGGATTACAGGCATGAGCCACCACGCCTGGTTATATGTTTATTTTTTTAAGAAGCTTGGCAAATGGGAGAGAGAATAAAGGCAGTCCTATGGAGGTCAGAAGGCCATAGAAAGGTCTTTTCTCAGGGTAAGCAAGCTTACAAATGGGCCGGTGAGAGAGAGGCATTCTAGATGAAGCAGGATTGGGGGAGGTAGGTATTTTGCTGGAGTAAGATGCTGGGGTAGGCGGAGAGACATTGGGACAGGGATATGGGAGGTACAGATTTTGTACTTATACAAACACAAAATATACCTATGTGTGGCTTTACCAGCAGGCTCCTCAGCTAAAAAGAAGCAGCAGTAGAAACAGGGAGGACTCAGGGCTGGGGATGGGAATCATGACAGTGGCCAGAGGGCAGAGAGGCGAAGACTCCAGGGCTAGTATATTACCTTCCTAGGCGCTGTCTTAACAAAGTGCCACAAATGGGGTGGCTTCAACAGAAATTTATTCTTTCACAATTTTGGAGGCCAGAAGTCTGAAATTAGTTTATCGAAAGGCCCATGTTCCCTTTGAAGATTCTCGGGGAGGATCCTTTCTTGCCCTTTTCAAGCTTCCAGTAGTTGTTGGAGATCTTTAGCATTCCTGGATATCTGGCAGCATAACTCTTATCTCTCCCTGTTTTCTCATGGTGTTCTTCCCTACATGTCTGTTTGTGGCTCTGGATCTCTCTCTTCTTATAAGAACATTGGTTACTGGATTTAGGGCACACCCTAATCCAATATGACCTCATTTTAACTTGATCCTAACTGCGAAGCCCTATTTCAAAATAAGGTCACATTCTAAGATTCTGGGTGAGTGTGAGGTTTTGAGACCACTACTCAACCCATGCTGCTGGTAAGAGCATCTTTGACATGATGACTACAGAGTACTGCCAGAGCAGTCAGGAAGGGACAAGGGTGATGATGAATAGCAACAATCTAGAGTCCTTGGAGAGCCAAAGGAGGTTTGGAGGTTAGGAGAGATATGTGAGAGCAGGGGACTTTTGTTTGGAGAAGGAAATTTCAGGACTGAAGACTTTAGGATTTAGGTCCTATGTCAGAGGTAGAGAGTAAAGGACATAAGTTCTTCCTGGGTTCCTATAATCCCCTATCCTACTCAATGGAAAGTTAACATGTAAAGGCCAACACTTCAGGAAGAAGAAACAAATCCGGTCAGAATGTTTACCTCTGTGCTAACCACTCCACTCCTATAACAGATACTCATCTGTTTATTCATTCACCATTCATTTATTGAGTGCCGACCCCATATCTTAAATTGTTCTAGGTTCTGTGGATATAGTAGTAAGACAAACAAATAAAAACTAGTGCCTTTGTCCCTGCCCTTGTAAATACTGTATTCTGTAAGGGAAAAGACAATAAACAAATGTATAAGTATACAAATACAAAATACATCTTGTGTCCTCTCATGGAGGAAACAGACCACCATGCCAAAGCTTTGCCTTCTCCTTAATTCTGTACATATGGATAAGCACTTGTCTTTGTAAAATAGCGGATTTTGATAACTCTTTGTGTAATTCTTCTCTATGTCCAGAGAGAATTGAAGTATAGTTTGCTACCACAATGAATAAATTGATTAAGAAATCTTTCAGAAATATGCATGCATATAGAGCTGAGAAAGTAAGAGAAAATGAAATAGGACCTTGGGACTTTTCTTGAGTCTTAGGTCAGCTTTTCTTTGGATTGGATTGGAGCATGAAAATAGCAAGAGGTGTATTTGAGTGTAATGAATAATTATCCTTTTTTTTTTTTTGTCAATTAACTCTTTGTGAGTTCATTGGGGAACTTCCCTTCTATGAATCTTGGGGATAAATCAGATACAAAATTATACCACAACTGCTGAGCACACTCCTAGAGGCCTGGTGTGTGACATAGCCTCAAACAATCAGAAGCCGCCATGGATGGTTTGGTGGTTGTTTCACAATCAAGTTCTGAGAGCAGAAGGAGAAGCAATACAAATGTTGTCATAATCAGTGGTGATGCCATTTCTCTCCTCTGACCAAGGTTCTAGTATGGATCTGGGTGCTATATTGGTCACTTGGCCTATTTCAATAATTCTGTGACTTCCCATGTGATAGCCTTTTCAAATAAACGGTCTGCCTGAATCTTTACACTGTCTGCTTCAGTTGATTATCTCTAAGAACACTAACTGATACATTGGGTTTCTAGGGATATTTTTTAGTTTTTTGTTTTGTTGTTCTTTCAGATATTTCTTGAGCATTTATTATATGCTAGGTCCTCTGACGAGCATTGGGAATATGCAGTAAATAAAGCATACTCAGTCCCAGTCCTCGGTTAATTCAATGTTTTGGGCAGAAGACAGTTGAGTGAGCAAGCAGTTACAATAAGACAAGCTACAAAATACCATAGTACCAGAGAGCACAGGAACTAGTCTGTGGTTTCCATTCTAATCTATACTTAGTGGCCAAATAGGCAGCAGAGCCCAATTAGATGCTTGGGGTTAGAGGAAGCTGGATCCACATCCTGAAGGAACAAAATGGCAGGAACTAGGTGGGATGGGAAGTGTCTTAGCCTAGCAAACAATTGAAGAGGGACTCTGAGCCATATAGGAAGCTTAGGCAGGTAAGGTACTTTATAAGGGTTCCAGATCAGTGAGCATTGAGTTGTAGACTCATTCAATATTCCTTTTTGGATGGAGCAGAAATCCCTAATAGCCTGTCAGATGTGGGTTGTATTAGTGCTTGCAGTAAGTCAAACTAAGTCATCTAGTAGTCTATTTTCACTCTAACCTTTGAGTTTGTCAAATACTACCACTGGTATTAATGTGTGTTTACATTTATTGACCATTGACTATATGTTAGGGTCAAATATATGTTATTTCATTTCATCTTCTGGGATTTTTAAGGTAGAGTCTATTCCTATGGTGATGGAGACAAAATAACTGTGTCTTAACTGTGTCTGTCTGTCTTAAGCTGTCTTACATATTCCTGGGCAAAACTACATTTCCCAGCCTCCCTTGCAGTTATATAGTCGTGTGACTACATTCCTCTTAGTGGAAAATGAATATAAGTGATACGTTTGGTGTCAAGGCTGGTACCATAAGATTAGGGGCAGGTCTCTTTGATGTTCTGTCCCCATCTCAGCAAGCTAGGACCCATAGAAATCCAGCCTATTCGTCCCTTGAAGATAAAAATGAATTTCCAGGGGTTAGCAGAGCAACGTCATGGAATGAAGGATCTCTGAATGATTACATTGAAGAGAGCCACCCACTAATCTGCAATGTTCACGTCAGACTCTTCGGTGTGGAAAATACAAACTTCCCTGATAGTTAAGCCACTGGGTTAATGTTGTGAGGTCTTTGTGTTATAAAGCCTATCTTTAGCCAAAATTAATCTCCTGCCTATATTTCATATATAACAAGTGTCATTGCTGCTCTGTCATAGATGAGGAAACCTGGCCCAAAGAAAGATGGAGTCATTCCTG